ATATATATATATATATATTGTCGATATTACCACCCTGCTCCAGGGTTGCTAGAGTGAGAAAGAGGAGCGAATCCATTATTAGTTTATGAACAGTATTGGCGGCACATTATTCGGATGTTAATGGAATTAGTTAGGTAATTACTTGAAATAACTTTGTAAACTAACAAACATTTGGTTCGATATAGTGTTAGGCAAAGTAAGTTATTAAAGGAGATTAATTAGTAATATGATATATGTGTTTGATATATGTGTACTATACACTATATCAAGACTTGTCCTTCGGGAAGCAATGTCTTTATACTGAACAAGTTTCCTTTAGTCTTGATGTTTCATTTCCATAAAGTTCTTCGCCCTGTATGATTTTCGTGTTTTATCACATTTCTTGGTTTACTGACATCACACAGTTTATTTTTTACGTTAAGTCTATTTAATATTTGCTGATGCCTTGCACTGAATACATGATAGTGTACAGTGCAACTGAGTTCTTGTGTCGTGTTTGGTTTTACTTTGAAGTTTGTCTGATGGTGGAGGCACACTGCTCCCAAGCTGTCGCGATGATACATTGTACGTTTTGTTAAGTGCGTGCTTCATTGTTCATATAGTCCATAGTAACACCAAGGCTTGGGTAAAGAACTTGACACTTGTTCTTTATTAACTAACGTTTCGGCTATCGCAGTAACCATCATCAATACAATCTACAGAAAAGAAACAAGAATGTTCAGGCAAACAAGAAATCAAATACCAGGCAGCCAAGCTCGGGGCTTTGGTTCCTGACTGCTGATAAGATGGTTTGAAGAGTACAGTAGTTGCCTCGTTTTAAACGACCGGATTACAGTCCACTATTGTTTATTCTTATACCTGTAGTGGTATGTATGCATATGTATAGCTTATTCGTATACATGTATAGTGGTACATATATTGGTCAGTCGTAGAGGAACTTTGGTAGAGTATACGAAAATAAAGGAACGATCAATTAGACTTTTAGAACTAGGCACCTCCTCACTAAACTACCACTGTCTGCGCCAATTAGAGCCAGGACATGGAGCTGCTCTTAATCGAGTCTCTCACGGAGACAGAAAAACTAACGATTTTCAGAAACGAACAATTATCTGCAGTGTGTATTCTTATAATTTAATGTTATTATATTTCCATTAACCTTCTCTGTTCAACTTCTCTCCCGTCGCCTGTCTTGATTTGGATAACGTAATTTTTGTTGATTTAATCGGGATTTATATTTTTTAATATTAATACATGTGTGTGTTTCGCTTGTTTGAACATTGTTGTTTGTTTTCTACGTATTTCTTAGGTGATGATTACTGCAATAACCGAAACGATAACTAATAAAGAAACATTTCCCTTTCCCTCCACCAACACACGCACACAATAAAAAAATCTTGGCAGTTGGCAGCATTCACTGATTAGATGTTACCTTTTATCGCGTTCGTGTGTTTGTGTGTAGAGAGAGAGAGAGACTACTCTGCTGTACTTTGTTATTCGTGGGAGTTAACACACCGCGTGGACGTGGTTCATGTGTGTGTAAACATTCAAACACTGGCGAAGAACGGCTGGTGGATGAATATTACGTGTTTGTTTACGGTGGCGTCTGCAGTTTCATCCTCCTGTTATTGTTTATGCTTCACACTTCGTCCGTAATTGTTTATCCATAATTTTTAGAATGTTTGTTTATAGCGCAAAAAGTATCACTTGTTATGTGCCTCACGACCCTGGCAGTAAACGAGCGTAAATAAACATCAACTAGGAAGCTGTGTTCAGAAATCACCTTATCCCGCGAGAGGACACACTGCCACTGGTACTGAACGTCCGCAGTTACCAAATCCATTTAGCTGTAGGTGTGCTGAGCTAAACCTAAAGGTAAATTACCGAGCTGGGTGCTCCAGGACAATAACTAGTGCTAATAGCAGTTTGACTACTTCTCCTTCATAGATGTTTCGCTGGGCTGACTTACAATATTGAACATTTCAAGTTTAATCATCAAGAAGAAATCCATGAAAAATGTCAGAGGGCGACGTTGATTACCTGTGTAACTGAAGTTCGACAAAATGACTTGACATAAAGGCTTAACATTGTTTGCAATTACAAGGATGACTGTGATATGGTGGGAGAGGAAAAGCAATCCCCGTCACCTCCCACTCTCTCCAGTATTTCATTTGTTTTCTAAAGTTGGAGGTAATCTGGCCAGGTGAGGCACTAAGATATTTTCCAATTTGTCCTCACTGATCCACGCTCAAGTGCAGCAAAAACTCGAGATACCTTCACTAAACTCTTAAGGGAAAATTAAGGAACATAATGTTTGGACATTCTGTACTCAGGCTTGAGAACAAGTTTTAGAAGGAAAAAAAATGAAGCAACTTCAGGTCGTGTGTGGCGCATTCGGAGCAATCCCGAGCATGTAAATTACTTCAACAAGGTTTTGTGGAAAATTAATAAGAAAAAGCAAAGATTTTTCAACTATTCATAATCATATTAGTTTCTCTATTCCTTTTTCACCGGATTTAAGCGATTCACAAATCTCTTATGGTTAATGTGGAATCTGAATGTAATTTTTTATGATGTTTGTTAGCGAACAACAACCCGTTTGATGCATTGTAACATCTTCAGATACAATGAAAAATCATTGTACGAAACTTTAAGAATTCTGTCCATTCAAAACACAACAAGCTTGGGGACTAAAACATGCGATTAAAAATGGAGGGCATGAATGAACCTTTACCCAGCTCATTAAAATAGAAATAAGAAACTTTAAATTATGAATCGCCCTCCTTGAATGAAGTGCAGACCATAAACTGGTTTTGTTTGATGGTTGTGGTTCAAGATCGTTCCCTCTTACCGCTCACTCCTACACAGCTCTCCGGCAGGATTATTGGGAGTCAGCTGAGAGATAATCCTGAATTCTTATTCCTTTGACTGGTTACGCCTAGCAGAACAACAGTAACAGGCATTATTCACAGGTAGTAGGCAGCTTACAGGTAGTTGGCAGCTACCAAACAGGGAGGTACTGCCGCCTGGGAAGATGTTGGAAGCATAATGTATTGTCCAATGGTAGACCCTGCTGCCATATGGCATCACAAAAATTGTGACCAAGTCCCAGGTTGCTGATCTGACTTTCTGCCTCATTTACACACAGTTGCAGGGTCTCAATTGTTTCTCTTACTATTGACAAAGCAACATACATATATTTTTGATCATTTTTTCATTCTTGTATTTCATTATTATTGTATTGTTTTATTTTAAATTTTGTATTATTATTATTATTATTATTATTATTATTATTATTATTATTTTTATTATTATTATTATTATTTTTATTTTTATTATTATTATTATTATTATTATTATTATTATTATTATTATTATTATTATTATTATTATTATTATTATTTAGGCCCCAGGCCCCGATGTGGGTCAGTAACCTGTGCCCGGGTGGGCTAATCCCGTAAAAAAAAAGAAAAAAAAAACTAACGAGTTATGTTATGACGAGGCTGTTTATTTTTTGCTAACCACGGATGCAGTGCCAGCTTCACGCCAAGGGAACATACAGTGTGACCTAACGTCATCTAGTTCACGGAAAGTTGATTTTAAAATGTATAATAAAAAAATATATTGATCTTAAGCGTCAATCAAAGGCATAGAATCGGATGGGTTGCCTGCATAAGGCCATAGCAAGGGATGTCAATATGAACCGTTCTGAAGTTGGCAGTTTTTTATTGAAACATAATTTTGACTCCTTGGAGTAATAAGAGAAAGCCAATGTCTTCTCCCAGCATTACTGTCACTGCAGAGATCGTTTTCCTCTAGTATATAATAGTAGTGAATATTGAAGCCTCATATTTTTAGCATTAAATTTATACGCAGTCCTGTAGGGAAATAATATCCACTTTTAGCGCGATCCTCTTTAGAATTGTAATGAGCTGGGGCAGTAGAATGTAGCGGTGTTATTGAAAATTTAACTCTTGATATTTTTAGCACGAAATTTATTCATACTCTTGCATGACTTTATGAAGTACTTCGTTATTTTTTGCGACTTCTCTGCCAACGTTGAGAATGGAAGACGTGTAATTGTTAAGTGAATTATTATTAGTCTTACCTGCATTATTAATTCCATCAGACTCACACCTCTAGATAATTTAGACACCTGTCACTACTGCATTAAATAGTCCACAAATATCTGGGGCTTAACACACACAACCACACGCACACAGGCGCGATGACAGACAGCCACAAGCTCTCGTAAAAGCCTTTTTAGACTGCATTTTACAGACTTCAGTCGCTGCCCACCGCTCGTTGTTTCTGAATCAACATGAGCTTTACCACTAAAAAAAAATTGTGATTGTTGAATATTGTCATTAAGCTTTCCGGAGACCATCTTGTAAATTCTATACTCCTAGAGGATTATATTCTCTATTTTGAAAAGTAAAATGCCCTTCTTGAACAATTTGACGAGACTTACCCGAGTTGTTTTTTACATGTAAAGACTAACACACACACACACACACCCACACATAGGGATAATCGTCTAATTAAGCCTCAAAACGCAACTAACGTTTGTTTTTCCAAATAGGGGATGATTTTTTATTGTTATAAATTAACGGAAAATCGTTCAAATATGGTGAAATATGTTTTTTCGTTTACTCTTTAGTAATGGTACTGCTCATTTATAGTTTGTATTCTCTACATGATTGTCTCATTGTATTGTTAACTAATATATATATATTAAAAACTAATTCAAGTGTTCACAACTTTATTTCCAGGGCTAAGATTAACATTGATGTTGTACAATGTGACAAGGCATTGGTGTAAGGCATTGGTGTTGTAGTGTCATTTACAAAATATTGATGTTGTAGTGTCAGTTACATAATATTTATGTTGTAAAGTGAGTGTCAAATAACACCGATATTGTACATGTCAGTCACAGAAGTTGTACAGTGGATCACGTCCTTAACATGATCACTAATATAGTGTTGTCGCTGTGTCACCTACAGAGCCTGGTAGTGCCCCGAGGAACGTGCACGTCCGTCCCCTCTCCTCCTCAACCATGGTCATACAGTGGGACGAACCTGAGACGCCCAACGGACAGATAACAGTGAGTCAATCTTGGACACCAAATTTAAAAGAATATTTGAGTATTTTTGCTCATTGATTATTTTTTGTGACTTCATATTCTCTAATCTTTTTCTTCTCTCCAGTTAGTGTAATTGTGTCAGTATGTGTTGTTAATGATTTGAGACGGAGTTTAATATGGACTACTCATACTAATGTATAAGAATAAAAAATGTAGTACAGCAGTGGTATAGAACCACATCTGAAAAGAACTGGTCGATGAACTGTGGAACTTGGAGAGATGAAAGCCATCGCATAAAGCATATTGTTATGCTGAGGCATAATTTCGTATTTTAATTTTGTAAACTAGGAGTTTTGATTGTTTTCTGTCCCATGCAGCAGTATTGTTAGCAAATGTAGTGAAATTTTCGTGTACAGTGATGTATTAATTATGCAAAAATATTCTAGAATGTATTGCATCATTTTAGCCTCGATCAGAGTTGAACGTCCTAGAATCTCCCAGGCGTCTCTGGGTGATGTTCGAGAAGCGTCTGACGAGGTGTACCTCGTATATAAGCTGGAGCAGGCTGCCTAGGATAATCCACCTGCTGTGTCAACCTCCTCCTATATTTCCCACTTCTGAACTTTGCCTTGTACTGTACCCTTTTTGCACCCTCAGAGCTAATGCTCTCTTCTTTCCATATCACCAACCAACCAGGGGAGTTAGTCGATCGCCTCTTTTCATAGTGTGAAGAATAAGCCGAGCAGAACAACTAAAGACAATTGTTGTGCAAGTATTGTGGAATTGTTGTCATTAATATAAAATCACCGTATGAGCACGATTGATACCCACCCTCGACCACGGTCATTGTCACACTGGTCATTGAATTTCCAAATTCCAAGCCGTAGATTTTCAAATCTTTACCCAGGCTGCTTTGAAAAATGCAAATGTGATTGGTAAAAAAAAATGCGGGCTGATATCGATACATCATTGGTCACGACTGGATGACGTCAGTCAATATTGCGCCTGCGTGATCCACAACTAACTCGGTTTCACGGCAAGTAACATTGTAGTGGATTCCTCCCCTACAAACGCTGTTTGTCGCTGACGAGCCGACCCACGAATCCAGCCGCACCTCGTGTCTAGGTCAACCAGCGCCGCCTTACATGACGGAGGTCAACTATTAAGCCACGCCTACCTCCGCTATATAAGACCCACACCTCGTGGTGACCGCTTTTTCTACCTACAGCCACCAGCAGCAACACCTCCTCCTCCGCTCCTGCCTGGCGGCTCCTGTTCCAGCCGGCGACCATGGCGACCCACAAGCTGGTCCTCCTCTGAGCACCCTCACCAACCAGCTCTCTCTACTCAACGCTTGTAACCATGCTGCCTTCCTTTCTCCATCCCATCCTGAGTGTGAACCAATAACCCGTACCCCACAAATGGTGACCTCGGAGTGACGCACTCACACAGGATGGAGGAGAAACATCTCGTACCCCACATCTCCTGACAGACGAAGACTGAAAAGTCCCTAAAATCAATCAAATTCAATTGTGTCACTATTGTCCATTTCCGCCATGTATATATATGGGGTTCGAAATGATCAGAATAGGGAGATCTAAATGTTTAAGTAGTTTATAACTTTCGGGCGCGCTATGTCCAAAAGTAAAATAATACCCAAGATCGTCTAGCGTTAACAAGTGGCTTCCTTTTTTTTATTTTTACTTTATCCTTTTCGCCACTGATCGGCTCGTTAGCCTCTTGGGCGGTCGGTAAAGTCTCTGTTACGCACTGTTGGCAAATACTGGGCATGCCATTCACCGGCTCCTGGATGTATCTGAACCAAGGACTTTATACGAAAGATAGGAAAGTGACTATCACCTACCATTAAGAAAGATGTGCGGTCTAAATCCACGATAGCGCCATCTATTGAGCTGGCGCATCACTATACAGAGCATCATTTTAACGGTTGCTGACGTGTCAATGTTTCATATGAAGTATGCTTAAGATATGTTAATATAACCAATTTTATATTTTTTTCATATAATACACATAAAATGTATAAATTACTCGTTCACCTTGCTATGTTATAATAAGTTACTGGAAGAATTGTTACTCCTTAAATTTTTAATTATGTTTAGAGCATATTTTTGCATATTTTATGTGTGAATCATATAAATATCCTGTTTTAAGTATCCATTTAAGTCAACTGAATGCCAACTCATTTTCTATGCCTTAGAATATAAAATATTACATTTTTTCAGGATCATAAGTAACATTCAGTATTTGGGGGTGAAGGATATACATAAATAGTTTTATGGTTTATTTTCCACAAAAATGTATAAATAAAGTCTAGAGACGTATACATATGCAAACACATTTATTTGCAATATTTGATACTTGGCATACTGTACCTCTTATAATACAAACCTACTTGTAGGTTAATATCTGGGCATGCATTTTTACAAAGCCTAGAAGTTGCTTTCCCTGCAGTGTAATTGCCTTCGGAAAAATGATGGCTGCATAATCTGGTGTTTTTGCTTCTATTTTCTGGGCTCTTTGCTTTAAGTTTCTCAAGCCCCAGTACTTGTATCCATTGCAAGCACCTGTAATTAATATTTAAAATTCGTATTCTACTTTGCCTGCAGGGAGTATTCACATTGTTTGTAAATATAATGATAAATAAACTGTCATAATCATTATATTAAATCATATGTATGTAATTCAAAACTGTGCTCCTACCTTTCTTTATCCTTTGGGAATGAATGCAGGGGCGTATCCAGGGGGGGTTTCCTGGTTGCCCGGAACCCCCCTCGAAGCTCACGCTGCTCGTCTGGAGTGTCTTTGATCTGCCGTCATCTCCCTCCCTCGAGCCAACACCCCTGCAGACACCATCGGAGTTTTATCGTCGCACCATTACCATACCACTACTGGACCATCTCATCACAGAGTTGGAGACCAGGTTCTCCTCCTTTCACCAGAAAGCACTGAAGGGTATGTCACTTGTGCCGAGCGTCCTGTTGACTCTTTCTGGAACAGAACTGAAGAACAGGATAGAGGACTTGGTGGAGATCTACAGAGATGACCTCCCTTCACTCGGCAGCTTGGCCAGTGAGCTTCACTGTTGGGCCGTTTGGTGGCAGAAACACCAGTCTGGCACCCTGCCATCATCAGCTCTACAGCATGCCACTACCATGTTTCCCAACATCCGGATGCTGCTGACCATCCTTTGCACCGTGCCAGTCACCACCTGCTCTACTGAGAGGTCCTTCAGTGTCTTGAAGAGCATCAAGACCAATATAAGATCAGCAATGGGGACTGCACGACTGTCTAGCCTCAGCCTCCTCCACATCCACAGAGACATTTCAGTGCAAGTCAGTGACATCTTTGCACGGCGAAATCTAAGGAAAGTGGAACTTTTTTATATTATTGCAGATGATCATGAATAACTGCAATGAAGTGATTGCTTAAACAATACAATATAAAATGTTAATGAACTCAAAATATGGTGGTGATAGCATATAGATAAGTTGCTCTTGATGTGTAATAAAAATAAAACATGATTTATACGTTGAACTTGCCTTGTACTTATTCCTTTTCAAGTGTCTGTTATGACATTGAATGTTTACTCTCACTCTAAATTACCCCTTGATTATCTTTTCAAATAACCCAATAGCCGTCGCATATGGCCTCAAAGTCCCTGAAATTTATCAAATTTCAAAATTTTCTGGGGGGGGGGGCAGCTGTATAGGCTCGCTGCCCTCGACCTGTTTATACAGTATTTACTTAAGGACAATCTGGGAAACACCCCCCCCCCCCCATACCAGAATCCTGGGTACGCCCCTGGAATGGTATACAAAATGGTTCTGCGGCATAACACGCACGGGTGTCCACCTGCTGCGATTTTGACGGTAAATGAATTTTGCGGTCTCGTGACAAACAAACTATAATCTTTGCAAACGACACGAGGTGCACACTGGCGCCTTCTATTGTTTTGGCTCAGCACTTTTTAGGACCCAATGAGCACAACATTTCGGTCCTCTTTCCTATCTTTCGTATATAGTCTTTGATCTGACCCTGCTCCAGTGGTGTCAAGTGGCACTCAAGCCTGGTCTTGAAACTGCTCACACTCGGTGCCGTCACAGCACTCAGGCAGGTTGTTTCAAGAGTTCACAACTGTTGCTGTTGAAGTGCAATAATGGCATTATAATTTCAACGAGACTTCGAGACCGAGTTGTACTGAAAAAAACCCCGTCGTGATTATGAGAACAGCACTACCACCAGAAGTAGTTGTTTAAAAGGTAAATTTGCAGTTTCAGTTCCAACTATTGTTTGGCCATAAATTTTTGTTTTGGTATTTTACTTGTTACTAAACTAATCTCGGGAATTTTATAGTTGCAATCAGTAGTTTTGACAATTCTAAGACACTTTTCCTCAATGGCATTCCTGGCGCCAACTGCGTTTAAGCGATATATTTAACATTTTATTATGTATATTCGTACATGGCGGTACACATCCAGAACAAGAATGACCAACCCCCGGTTAGGTTAGGTTAATGTTGACTTTACTTTTATCCTCTTATAATGAGACAGAACACAATGAGAAGATTACAAGAAGTAGGCAGTATAGAGAGTAGGAATGTAAAGATAGGGAGAATTGGTAGCGTGGCCGCTTGGGTGTTATTTACTCCGCGTCAATACGCTTATCTTCTTATCTCGTATGTCAATACACATATATTACTTCTTAAAGGGACAACTTGTTAAACACCTCTTCGACACAACTTTTTATTAATTCACTTAATGACATGGACACATCAATATCACTATTATATCGGGGTATTAACACGTTAGGTCTAACGTTACTCGACACTGATTCTCGGATACAACATGAATGAATACACTTCCCACAGTAGGTAATTCACCCTAGGGATAGTTCTGACAAGACTCACGTGTACCCTGACGTAGGCCCAGTGGGTGCTTGGCTGCCGTATGCAATGCTCTCCTTGGCTGGTGACGTCGTGAAGTCTCCGGGAGGGGACGAGCGTGACTCTGTGCGAGTGACCAGAATGACCTCTCAATGACCAACCTCTCTGAATGATAGTCGTGTGAGAATCACCATGAGAATCGGAATCAGAATGAATGTGGACGGGACTGTAGGGCCTTAATATTGGGTCGGCCCAGCCGGCTTTTGACCTCTAACCAATTATCACTAAACTGGTTAGATCTGGACAGGTGTTTGCCCAGGTGAGGTCATGTCGCAAGACAATAGTGCTTTGTAATTATTACCGCCCGCCCGGGTGGGTCTTGGCCAGGTGTGGTTTCCTTAACACCGTTATATCGTATGGTTACGCAAGTACTTAGGCCGGGGTCAGGTCTTGACCTGCAGTGTGTCAACCTGGTATGTGGTGGTACCACGAGGTCTGTAGTGTGCTCGCTGTTATATGTGATGTAATTCTGGGCTGTAAGCTTTGGTCTGATATTCAATCATTACACTCTTCACCACTGATCGGCTCGTTAGCCGCTTGGGCGATCGGTCATGTCTCTGTTACCCACTGTTGGCAAGTACTGGGCATGCATCGGCTCCTGAATTTACCTGAACCTGCTCCAATGGTGGTCAAGTCTGGTCTTGAAAGAGCTCACACTCGGTGCCGTCACAACACTTTCTGGTAGATTGCTCCAAGAGTTCACAACTCTCACTCCGAAAAAGTTTGCCCTCACAGTTTTCTGGATTTGGTGCTTCTTCAATCTTGAGTTGTGACCCCTTGTGGGGCGAGCATCCGCCAGCTCCAAGTAAGGACACTCGACTGAGTAGCGCCCCTTGAAATGCTTATACACCTCAATTAGGTCGCCCCTTGCCCGTCTGTAGTATAAGCTAGGCAAGTTCAGGTGCTCCAATCTCCCAGGGTAGTTGAGGTGCCGAAGTGCAGGCACCAACTGTCAACTAACTGACAGTCCCTAGCATATCTCGGGGACCAGACGGGGTGACAGTACTCCAGATGGGGGAAGCACTTCACTCTTATAAGACCCGAATTTATTTGCCTGATTTGACTTCTCGCAATGGCCCGAGAACTTCAGCTCATTATCAACATAAACACCTAGGTCCTTTTCACATTGTCTCAAATAGTGCAGTTTCTTCATCCCGTTGGGAAATATGATACGCCTCCTTACCGTTGGTACGTCCCAGGTGCATCCTCTTACACTTCGTGACATTGAATCTTAGCAGCCATTTCTTCGACCATTCTTGGAGCTCACAGAGATCCTTCTGCAGCTCTTCGCAGTCCGGTGGTTTTCGATGTGTTTTGAACATGATTTACCTTGATTTTTATAGCAAATCTCTAGATTTTGAGATGGATAATGTTGATTTGCACCAGAAATGAAGGTCAAATTCGTTTACAACACCAAAAACCACCGGGGAAACATAGGCTCAACTTTGATTTCGTATAGTGGCAACAAGTGAAAATTTACCTTGCAGTATTCTGTGTATGTACCATACAGTATTACATACTGTACTGTACTTGGCTTACCAAGACCGTAAGGCTGGATGGTTATCATAATTTTGCACATGTAATATACATAGCTACAAATGATTAAGAATGTACCTCTAAACTACATCATTGCTAAATTATATTGTACTGTACATATTTCTGCAGATTGTAATCTGTTAATAATTATTAACACTTACTATTACTATCAGGCCTACAAGCTATACTATACCACCAACCCATCACTGCCAATCCAGTCATGGAAAAGTCAACCTGTCCAAGACAATAAGCTCACTACCATCAGTGACCTCACACCCCATACTATCTACACTATTCGTGTGCAAGCTTATACTGGCATTGGACCTGGACCTCTCTCTGACCCCGTCAAAGTCAAGACGCAACAAGGAGGTAAATTGCATTAGTATTGTATTATTTGAATAAATGAGAGCATACTATTGCCTAGCTTGACGAGGGTCTTCAAGACACAACTAAGTAGAAACAGAGGAGAGTTTTTTTTATAGTTTAACCTAAGCACTTAACTAATCACTACTGTACTTAAAACTCGCTGTACAGTACATACCTGTACTATGGACAATATTACTGCAATAATTATAAATTTATGCTTTAGAATTACTGTGTACAGTACTCTATTTTACTAATTAATATAGTTAATGTAGTTTCTGGACTTAAATGTTACCACTTTAAACTGTTTCATATACAGGTATGTTAAAAATAATTGAGAGGATGGTTCACAATAAGACTCCAAAATTATCTGGACATTGCCTCCTCGAATTCTAATACAGTACTGTATCAGAAAAACAAAAGCATTGCTTAAATTGTTTGGATACAGTATTTCTGCACCATAGTTTATCATTGCTTTGAAATTGCTTAACAAAGAAAGTTAAATTTTCTTTAGATTATAAGAATACTTGCCCCAGAATTTTGTATATTTAAGTAATTTTTCCTTTTTTTTTTTTCTTTTGTGAAAAGAATGACTAATTATTGTCCCTTTTTAGTGCCCAGTCAGCCAACTAATCTCCATCCATCTCGAGTGACTGCCACGTCAATTGAGTTGAGTTGGACACGGCCTTCTCATCAGGGAGAGAACATAATCTCCTATGAACTTTATTGGAATGACTCTACTACACAGGTGAGTAAGAGCCTTCCATGCAGTCAGAATATTTATAATCTTTAAAACGATTCAGATTGATACTGTATAACATTATACTTTAACCTTTAGAAACTTTGGTTATTTCCATGATGATTCAGTAAACATGGAGGATTCTCTTTTCTCTAAGACAAAACTGATGAGATAATAATGGTACTGTGATAATAAAGAATGTGTGTAACCAAGAATGTGGGTACTACTGTACATAAGCTGTGAACATGAGTGGTTCTCGTGAACTTCAGAGTACCGTAGGCAGATGAGCTTAACTTCACTGTTATGAGGGTTAAGGATTATGTTCACTCAACCTCCTTCACATTTTCATTCTAAAATTTTGAACAGCATTGGGAACACTATTAAGATCATCTATTTTTTGTGGAAATTGGTGCATTTATAGATTTCCTGATGACAATAGGCAAAAATATAACTGGTCTCTGAAATACATCGTACTGAATTTTTAGTCATTTACCTTTCGTATTTGAAATAAATAAATGAAATGCTTTTCAAGATAACTTGAGTTTGATCCATAACAAGTGTTATGTAATTAATTTGTATGAGACAGAGATGCAATTTAGACTGGATTGGTGTAGTATTAATGCTCTTATTTGAAACTCTGTTGTTGTGCATGATTGCAACTTTTTATAAGTTAAGAATACTGTATGTCGGAACATCCACAAAGTGTACATTAATACTGCTGTAAACTCATCTCATGATATGTTGATGTATTGAAAATTTTCAGAAACAAGAGCAACGTAACATTCCTGAGGGTGAGAGTTACACCCTTGAAGAATTACAGCCCAACACAGTGTACAACATGTGGCTAGCAGCCAGGTCACAGCGAGGGGAGGGAGCCGCAACAGCACCTATATCTGTCCGCACAGACCAACACAGTTCGTAGTTTCATAATTTCTTGATTTTTCTTTTTAATATCCCTTTTCGTTTTTAGTAATTTTAGAGTTCCAGGTACAGTACTAACATGGTGCTGGCAGTCATAAAACTGTATTTACTGTATTGTGCTCATAATGATTGAAGTTTGCACCTGGTATTTACAATTGATGCACAGTTTCTCATACTGTAGGTTGTGCTTTGATTTAATGGAAACTTGCATTTAACTGCTTAATTTGTAAAAAATATATATATTCTCTGTTAGCCGGAATCCCTTAAACCTGGAACTCTCCGATAGCCGGAATTAAAATTTTCTTGGAAAATACTTTCTGAATGATTTTCTGAGAAAATTTTCCCGATAATGTACCTGGAAAATTCCGGGGATGGGGGCATTTTTTTCCGGGTTTGAGAGATGAAACTCGGGCTTATTTTCTAGAAATTCCAGGGAGGGATGGGATATTTTTCTAGGTTCGAGAGTTGATGTAATGGGCAACATCTGGAACTTCCGAGAGCACTTTTCAATTACCAGAAAATTCCGAGGATGAGGGATATTTTTCCGGGTTCGAGAGATGATGTAATGGGCAATTTCTGGAACTTCCTAGAACATGTTTCTGTTATCCGGAAAATTCCGGGGAGGAAAGATTTTTTTCCGGCTTTGAGAGAGTAGTCTCGTTACACAAAATCTCTCATTCCCGGCAGTGCTCTGCACCAATTGTTCCGGCTAATGGAGATATGACTGTACAGTACGCCCGTATAATTCGCGGATTTTTATTTCGCTGTCCTCTATTATTTGCGGATGGCACCCTGGATGTACCCAAGAATATCTGCGAATTGTTTTAAAGTTGCTGGCATTTTCGTGGCCAGGACAGGGAGACATTTATTCTAGAGAAAATAATTTCCTTTACCTGTATTGTTTATATGTATGTGTGTGTGTGTGTATATATATTATGACATGCTTTTGTGTGGTACAGTATCTGTGACTGTATTGTGAGTAGCCATTTCACCAACGTAGCATAAATGAAAAAAAATATTTCATGATTTCATTATAAATATTTCAATACACATCACTTTATCACTTCATCAGAATAAATATCAAGGTTGTAAGAGATAAATATCTTAAGATAGCGGCACAAACGCCATGGTGGCCATTTTTAAATTGTGCCTGGGACCGAGACAATCACTGTTTACTGAGGCAGAAGCATTACTGGCAGCTGTTGTCTGTTACTGCATGGTCCACTGCACATAGATGGGTTGCCACCTAGCCTTAAAAATTGGTTCCCTGCAAGAAAGTGACATGACAAAAGTGACGTTAAAATTTGAAGTAATTCGACCAGACTTTTAGAGAGAGAGAAAAAAATAAAGCCATACTGGCGTGTTTGATTGTGAGGCAAAACTTTCACTTACATGAAATCAAAATGCCACTTATGAGTGTATGAGTCTGAGAGTGTTAAACTCATTTAAAACAGCTCTCTTAAATGAATATATTTGTTTGAATGTATGTAAAACAGTAATCTCCCAATAATCTGGAATCTACGGTCCCCATAACTATCCAATAGCCAGATGAAATTTGAGCCTTCTGGGAACTTCTGGGGGAAAACTCTTTTCACTCCAGGAATGGGAACAAGTTTCTGAGGATGAAATCCTGCGCATTTTCCAAGAAAATTTCTTTGTTCTGGGCATGGGAAAATTTTTTCCAGGAGTTACAGTTACATATATGGTACTGTACTGTACTGTACTGTACTGTACATTCAGTAAGTGTGAAAGTATACTGTATAGTACAAAGCAGAGTGGACAGTGTATGCTTACTGTAGGCTAGTGTGTAGAGGTGTATGTATAGTAAGCAGTGCATGTACAATTTCGTTCAAGATTCTTTGAACACTGCTGGAGACAGCTGGCAACTCAAGGCCATTTGTTTACTATAGTACGTAGTATAATATAATATGAAACAACAAAGCCCAACCATTAGTTAAGCAACGGGGAACTAAGTAACCAATCACCGATCACTTTTACATTCATTCATAATTTTTACTACTTGTATGTTAGTAAACAAACGGCCTTGAGTTGCCAGCTGTTTCCAGCAGTGTTCGAAGAATCTTGAAAGAGACTGTACAATCCTTCCTCTATGGAGGGAGAGGAGAGTGACAGTTAGCAACACCTGCTACAGTACAAATGCAGACTACTCTGTATGATCATTCAGGGATGTGCCATATAGCGATTGGGATGCATTCCTAAAAAAGAGATTGCCAAGTGATTTGATCGTTGAGCGAACAGAAACAAGAAATATCTTAAACAAGGGATAACGAGGAGTAATATCTGTGGAGATGGCAGTTGATTGTGTAGAGGAGTCGCCTGGCCTGCTTGCCACCCAGTAGCACTCTGAGCTGTGAAATGTTATTGTTCAACTCGTAATTTTGGGTAGATACATTATACGTAATTTTCTTCATTTTCGTGTACTCTGTTACATGCACACACATTGGTTCATACAAAATGTGCAAAAAAAATAAAAAAAATTATCATAAGGTCAAAATCATAAAGGGAATACAGTAAACAATTCTTACCTGGTCTGCCTGTTAGCTGACAAGAACAAAGGGGAAGGGAAGAAAGGTCACTTTAGTACACAATATCGCAATACTACAGGGTAATGAATAATCCATACAGTTCTCAATAGCACACCTAAGTCACAACAATAACAATGATACACAGCAATAGGAACGATGCACAGCAATCGATAATATACAAAGCAGTACCCCTGTATTGTAAAGCACAGATCACAATGTTCAAAGGCAAGGTAAACACTAGTGTAATAACAGCCGGGGTTCCTAGGTGGCGTGCCGGTAGCATACCCCTATAGTATTACGTGATTTCTGTATAGTAAACCTCTGGTTACCAAGAAATTAATTTATGTTTTTTGCTTGAAAAGCTAGATAATGATTTCTAAAATAATTTCTAAAATTCATGTTGAGTGATTCATAGGTAGTATCTTACGTAGCAATTCCTTTTCCAAGTGGTTTAGTGTCAGCCTTGAAAATACAACGTTGCCACTCGCTCTGAGTTGGTTGAGAAACATACAGTATTACATTTGGCATATATTTTCCATCGCTTAATTTTATTTCAACCTTATTTTAATATTAGACTCGTGATTATATAATACTGGATAGGTAGGTAAATAGAAAAATGTAATTCAAGCATTCAAGCAAATTTTTTTTTATTTACTTATATGTGGCAATTCTAAATAGAATGCGATTAAAAGAAGCCTCTGCTCCACAGCAAACATGCCATGGTGAATTTCAGATATCACTTGCATAAAATAACTTAAATTTAAAAAATTCTACACTTATTTTATTATTTATTGTTCTCAAATATGTACTGTAGCTATTATTCATTGAGGAAATTTTTAGGAGTCGGCACTTGATATACCTATGTTATTGGGTAAGGCGGTGATGGTGGTAGAGGCAGACAGGACTCCTTCCCTCCCTCCCGCCTGTGCCTTACTGCTACGCCATGAATCCTCCTCTACCACCCGCTCACCCACCCAACCCACCACTACTTTTACACTACCACCTGTCATGTTCTCATCACACCCACATCTGCCCATATACACCCATATTGCCTGCCCAGTAGAGATGCCCACTTAGAGTGCAGACTCCTCATTTTCTTGACTTCCCTCCTGAATTTTTCCCAGTGAGTTGCAGATCACCAAACCTAACAATTGTAGATCGTTAAATAACCATGAGTGTTATAAATTTTAAGTCGCTTAACCCAATTATCACTAAGTGAACGATCGCTATACGGTGCATCCCTGTACAGTATCACTATTTGGTCTTCCTGCTTCACAAGATCAAGAAGACAGCATCTGCTGGCAAGTACAGTACTGTATAGTGTATAGTTATAT